CGTACCCGCGGACGCGGAACCGCCTGCCTCACTTTCTATAGGCAGTGACGCGGGCTGCACTGTCGAGAGTGCAAGCGGCCAGGAGGAGTGGGGCGGTGGGGGTGGGGATAAACCACGGGAGACGAGCGGCGACTGCTCTTCGCCGCTGCATCCCGCGCAATGCGGCTTTGCGAATGACGTCACGCGTGCACTGCCAGTCCGGAGAATTGGTTGTAATTCGCAAGTTGCTGGTATTGCTGAAGCTACGCGTCATAACGGTACATTGCACGAATATTCTTTAAAAAAACGTACACCTAATTTGAATTTATAGAAAAGTTAAACGCAGGGTGCGAATTGAAGGATGGAATGGCGCGCTGCAAGGTTCGTTCGATCCTAGAAATTTTGGTGTCCCTTTCTGGAAAACACTAATTCGCCACTTCTAGAGGCACAATTTACCCATATCTGCTATCTATATATGCTAGATTCGTGTTTATGATCTGATCACACCTCAAAATATTCAAATAGAGGAAACGGGAAAATAAAACTTTCTCAAGAGAATTCCTGGAATTTATTCGAACTAGGTACGTTGCGAAAGCGAATATGGTATTCGTTTCACTCATCAATATGCCCGCCTTGTTCAGTGTCGAATTTCACTTCTGCACAAAGCTACCATTTCGCGTCCTGGTTTAATTAGTGAACTGTAGCTGGATAACAGTATGTGTAGATTCCGCCTTAAAATGACCTTTACCAACGCGATGTTCTGCCTGACCCCGTTCTAGGATCCTTTTAAATCACATTTATTACTTTTATTTGCCTTGATTGGTTGGCAGTATACTCTTTCTACATTTTCTTTCTTATACGTAGGAAAAATAAACATATTTCATGGTATTTGTTAGCCCAAAGGCATTGAAATGGTAAGCGGATATTTTGGGAGTAAAATAATTTATCTTCAGCGATATAAAGATTTCTGATTTTAAAAACCAAAATGCAATTTCGACAAATTTACTTCATTTAATTGCTCTAAAAGCCTGAAAATGTCAAAACATATTGCCTTCAAGAGAAAATATTTGTGCTTTTGAAGTATTTTCACTCTTCGTTTTTCTCATATCAATCAATTGTTTATTTATTCTAGCATTGTACTTTATTTTCTATAGAAAACGCAATTGTATTTTTAGTATGGAAATATCGTTTGTTTTCTAATGAATTTCCTTTTGATCTCTAATGTTGCTTGCAATTTATTGCGAATCGTATTGTACTATAAATTGACAAATGTAACATGAATAAATGATACACGTGAAAAATATTTTTAATATCATTTTCCTTTTTTGTTACCGATAAAGGTTTTATATTTGCTTCTTGATTTATCGTCCGTGGATCCAAGATTTTAGTGACGCAAAGTGTGCAATGCATATTCCTTTGTATGTTCCTGCCCTTACGAAGTACGTCGTAAGAAGAGAAAGTTATGTAAACGTGCGTCGGAAAACGGCGGCTTATTCGTTTAAAATTAAAAACCCCTTCTTTCCTAAATAAGTAATGTTATGGTATATTTTAAACGCTTTCGAATGGTTAAGTTAAGAAAAGACCAAAACGAGTTCTTCTTCGTGAGTGTGGTAGGGATGCCCAGAGGGAGAGAGATTTTTGGCTTAAAAAACGAGTGCTGTCACACCGCCTTGGTGCTGCGCCTTTAAGTGCACGCGTGCGACTTCCTTGTAGGGCAGAAGCTCGCGAGGAATGCGCGTGGACAATGGGGCTCCTCTGCGGCGGCTCCCGGATGCAGCGGCGCCGATAGGTCGCCTGCAAGTGTCGGCGCCCGCGTGGGCCGGCGGGGCGGGTCCCCGTCGCCTTCCCTCGCGCCCGCTCCCACGCTCCTGCACTGCTCTGGTTCCCGCTGTTTCACTGTCCTTTTCTTCTCCCTTGCCATCATTCTTGTCCGGCCCCATGCTCGCGCTCCGTCGGCCTGGCTTTCGCTCGTGATTTCGTCTATCTCCTCGACCTTGTTGTAGCTCTTGTCATCACATTGGCCATTCCTGTTGTACTTGCCCACCAGTAGCCCTGGCGAGGCGGGAGGTTATTGTCGTGTTGGGGGTACTTGCGCCGAAGCTCTTTGGCTTATGCGGCAAAGAAGGGGGCAGCTCCCTCAGATCGTGTAAATCTTTCGCCTTTTACTTTCCTCTCCACTGTGCTCGTCCTTACCCTCGAATGCCCACTCCGAATTCTCCCCGCTCTTTCCTGTCCCTGCGTGGCGCATGTGCTCGACTTAAGCGTACGCTCCTTGCGTGGCTTCCTTGTAAATACCTTTCTACTCTCTATTCTAACCTCTTAGCTTCTCCACATTTGATGGCTCACATATAATTAATTCTTTCCTCACTTCTTCTCCATCTCAAAGTTCCTACTGTTCTGCCTTGTACGTGTTCATTATGTTCGTGTGGTTGTTTTTGCTCTTGTATCTATCGATTTAGAGACTCATACATTAGTTCATCTCATACGGAGACTGCATTGGTGGGGAGTTTATTATGTGACACATCCAAGGTTTCCCTGCCATACCCACCAATTCCAACTCGCACCTCATTTATATACCTCGAGGGACCGATACCACAATGACCCGGGTCATATTTATCAGTCGCTTTTGCTGTTCTCCGAAGTATACGAGATTTGATGAGTGAATTGTTACGCGATTTAATTTTGTTGGTACTTTGGCTACGGTTGTTTTACATATCGCAGGCTGACGCGGATTTCTACATTTCGAATGCCCGTTGGTTTGGTCGGTCTCGAACCCACGCTCTAATGGCTAGGTCAATGTTTATCCACTGAGGTGCGTATTTTGGTTTTAATACTCATATTTACTTTCTTTGGATTGCCTGTCTACGTTTTCTAATTCCCGATTATTTTTTGAGTCATTCCTTGATCTGTAAACTTTTTTCCCTTTTCCATTTTTCTCATTGAAACAAATACGCCATTGACACTCAAAAATTCTGTATGTCTCTGTACCCGCTGTCACTAATACATATATTTTATTACATGATCGAAGCTTCATAGAGAGAATGTTCTCATTTGACAGGCCTATGTGCTTTGCGTACATTCAAACGACCTGGAACACTTCTCATAATTTGTTGCAAAGAAAAACCAGACACATTGTCTTATTTGTCATTAGTATGATCTCTATCATCATGTTCTCTCTTATCTACACGGAGGCGCTAACCACTTGGCAAGTGACGTGTAAGATTTTTATGATTCAGTATTGGTGGTATACGAATGCCATTCTCATCAATTTTGCTCACGACAGCCTTGAAATATCTGTCGTAGGCAGGAAGACTTTCGCCAGTCATCTTCAATTCGGTTGAAGTTTCCCACTCTGAAGAGAGAAAACTAAATGAGAGGTCGCTGCAGGTCTTCATGTAATAGATAAGCGTTTGCGCTAAGGGCATGAACTATTTATGCTCGGGAACTTGCTCCCTGAACTTGTGGAATAATTTATAAACACAGAAGGCGTTTGTTGGCAGTAGAAGTTTACGAGCGGGAATTCAGTAGCAAAAGGGAACAGAGCTGGCAAAGGTCGCAACATCGGTTCCAGCTGTTTCTCTGCCAGAACTCTTGGGGATCGTTTTGTGAGATTATCGTACGAATAACGACTATTAATTGCTGGTGTTTTTTTATAATGTACTGTAAGAATTATTATACACAGATTGCAAATAACATATTGCTCCCCACGGACTGAGTATTGATTAAATATTTACCAAATTTTTGGAAAATTACTCATTGTCGAATGTGCGTTTATTCCTGTATGTGTTTGTACACTGGCGGACGTGGCGTATGTGTTTGCTAGTTTTTAGAACTATTGTGTATTTGTAACGTGTACGTTTAAAGTTTCATTTTTAGATTAATTGTATTTAATTTTAAGAAAGCTTATTTTCAGAGTGTGTCGTACTTTCATTTGCGGCACGCTATAAAATGAAAAATAAAGCAGATCATGAATTTTTTACATCTCCATTGTTTGGAAATAAATTTGAAAGGTTACGTTGTGGGTCTGCAAAAACGTACTTGAACATAGTATTCATCATTTAGTACTTTCATTGTTTCCAATACAGAATGGAATATGTGTTTAGTAATTTGCACGTTACTTTGCTCTCTTCACTTCATGCAACAAGAATATAGAATATTAAGAACATTGCGAATGATTTGGAAATTATAGTAATAGATCCAAGTACTTACAAATTTAAATTCGTCAGTTTTAGATCCCACTAAACACTGACGCAATTGAGCGATCAATTTAAGATGCGATCTGGAAATTTTTTCGTGTGGGAACGAACTAAAAGTAAACTAATGGTTCTCCATCATCAATAACTTTCTCGCATTATTTGTAGTTGCTGCGAAGTATGACTGCACGGATCTGTGTTTCCAAGTAAAAAAATTAAAAAACGAAAAGAAAAAAAAAACATATCTGCGCTCATTGGTCTCAGGTTTTAGTCACTACGCCATTCACCATCTTTACAGCTGAACTCAACCATTCCAACGCTTGTAAAAAAACGTTGAACACTTACATTTCTAATTTTTAAAATTTCAGAAATTTTTATTTACAATACCTCAATATCTAGTTTTAAAGAACTGATTTCGTGAAGGGAAAAATAATATCACCAAAATTGTAATTTTTCTATGTCAATTTTGTGAAGTTTTCGTATATACAAAGAGTTCGCTGAAAAGGAAACCTAGCCATTTTTAAGTCTTAACTGAGAAGGGAAAAAAAAAAAAAAAAAAAAAAAAAAAAAAACTGATGAAAAAAATGGAGTAGATTTTGAGAAAAACAAGTTTAAAAGCCGGCCTGGATAGCCGAGGTCGCAATGTCTGAAGAGCAGTTGCTGCCTCATGGATGTTTGTGTATGTCCGTATATCGTTACCGTTACCCCCAATGTTACTTATTGTGACCTTTGTAGTTAAAAAAGCAATTTAAGTCAGTATACAAAAGTTTAAATAAAAAAATATTGGCCATATTTCCCCCCACATTATGCGACAAAGCAAGAAATGAAATGCCGCGCAAGACTTCGCCGGGGAAGAAAATCTCGGGGTGTGGGGGTGGGGCGCGATCGGAGTCGCTTCAGTGCAGCTGGCGCAGCAAGGAGGCACAAGGCAGCCGGCCCCCCGTACGCAGAAGGCTGGCCAGGGCGGTGGCCGGCTTTTGTTACGCCTTCCACCTGGCACCGCCGCGCGCCCGCCCCTCTGCCTCTCCGCCCCGCGCGCCGTCCGCCGCTACATTCAGGACCCCGCGCGCCGCCACATACCCTGCGCGGCTCCCTCCAAAGGTTCTTTGGACCACGTCGGGGGACGAGGGAGGTCGGACTGGCGACGGAAAAGGGCCCGTTTTCACGGTGGTATTATGTCACGGCATTTCACGCGTCTTTCTCGGTTGGGCCGCTAGATGTCGCATGACAGCGACCGTATCAAGCAATGCTTGATAAAAAGTCGCGAACATGCACCGTCTAACGGCACGACTGAGACTACACGGCAAAATTCCGTGACATATTCCACCGTGCAAACGCGCCTAAAGAGCTAATAGAAGGGTTGGCAAATCGCTCCTCGTACGAGCGGGCATCGTATGGGCATCGCTCGGTCTTATCTCTTGAAGGCTTGTATGCTGTCTTGTCGCTCGAATTTTTATTATATATTTCCTCATTTATTTTTTAATAAAAGAATGTGCAAAGACAGGTGTCCTTCGTAATAACTCTGTATTTTGGGTTAATCTTACTAATTGAGAGTGGATTTCGAGGTGCTTTTACAAATCAGCTTCCGTAGCTGTTCTCTAATCACCAACGTTGTACAGCCCTAGCGTGCGGCGCAGCCGGGGATATATCAGTAATCCCTCTGCCCACACAGATTTCGAGTTCCGAAACTGGGACTAACCGGTCCTGCACGCGGCGCCTACTTCCTACGTAAACGTTCTACAACGATTGCCACCGGTTTGCGATTGCTTTGGTCCAAGCTCTAGACTAGTGGAGCTGGGAGAAAAGTGTAAACGTAAGACTAGGCAGTGTTGTTTTTGAAGCCCAAATTACTGTTTTGATTTCATTTTGGATGGGAACGGAACATATCGTGACTAAAGAAGGAAAGTGACATTGACAAAAACTTTCAGGAGAACAGTTTCGAGATTCACGGCTCCGTTTATTTCGAGGCAAAATATGAAGTATTTTGCCGTAAATGCTGGCAGTGTTCTGAACTGTCTGTAGGAGCTTGTTACTAATAAAATATCAATTTTCCTAAACATTTTTAATCGCTTCTCAAAAATCGTAGTTTTTTGTTACATCTCTTTTCTTCAGGACTGGCTGTGTATTGAATACAAATGATGCTGTCAAGTCGTACGTGTGGCATTTGATAGCTGTCATAACTGTCAGTTCATTTCGCACATACTCCGCCGGCGCGGGGGCATGGTGAATCATCGACACTCGCGATGCTTTCCAATGCGATCAGGTGGATTGGCACAGGCACACCAACGTTTACACAAAGTGAAAACAAAATTCCACCCCCAAGCATACGTGTTTTAAGTTTGTTATGAAAAAAATAGAAAGGTGTGTCCAGTGTTCACCAATCACGCAAAAACACTATGAAATTACCGTTTAAATATTCACCCCCCCCATATTTCAAATTCGTATTTTTTTTATGTTTTTGAGTTTGTAACTTGTTAACTAAGAATTCCGTAGTGAAGTAAGAACGTCAGTGTCATTTTTGCCAGCATAACTATTATGAGTAGGGATTTATTAATTTCAAGAACAAATAAAATGTGTTTTGATGTGTCTTAAGATTTATTATTTTTTATGTGATATTTTCTCTGTTATTTTAATGAACTAATTAATTTTGTTTGATTTCGGCATAGTTTTGGTGTACGTTTTGAAAGTGAAGTCGTTCCCTACAATTGTTATTTCGAGATTTCGCTTCAAATTAAATTGAAATGATTCGTGAATTTAATCAGATTGCATTTATCCCTTATTTAAGGACAGAAAATTATTATAAAGTAACTGTTTTGCCAATCTATGTGATATTTGTGATATACAAGGCGAGCTATCGGCGTGTTTTCTCGGGGTTGTGTCACTTCCCCTGACTCTCAATCCACACATTGTACAAGATCATCATCGCAGTCATTTTTCATTACATCATCACTCATAGATCCCATCGACCTTATTTGTATATGGGATCATAAATACCAATAAATAAATAGTAGTAATATTAAGGGAGTGTTCATTGTATGTTATCCCAGTTTTAATTTTTTGGGCCTTTACAAGTATGATTTATTGCAATGGAGATGAATATGAAAATGAGTTATTTTTTTAGTGACATTTCCACGTCGACATTCCAGTGGATGCACGAACATTGTTTAACTTTTCTTTGTGTGGGCGTTATGGGTCTCCGGCATTTAGCGTGCGAGGCGCGGAGACTTTCCTCCGGTAGGGCCTCGAGCGTTCCTGAGCAGCGGAACCGCGGCGGCGCTCTGCTGCGGTCACGCTGACCTTTCACTCGCCTCTGCTCGCGGAGCTGCGCCCACGCTCTCTCCCTGCCTCCGCCCCCGCGAGCGCCCGCGTACAGGGTGTCGCAAATGCGGCCGCCTCCGCCTCTCCGCTGTGGCGCCTGATGAAACGATCAAGTTACACTACGGCCTGTTGGCGCAGGGGCGTGGGAGTAAGAGCGTAGATCTGGGTGTTGCATCAATTCTCTGTAACGCGTGGATATTTTCTGTAGTTGTAATTATGGCACGGGTTTCGCCCCCGTTAAATTCACCCTTTATTCCTTAACCTGGTCTTATTCTGTAATTATAAAAAATGATTTGAGGGTAAGGGTGCGGGCGTATGGGCTTACTGACTGCGACCGAAGCTTTAACTAACCCCCTATTCCCGTAGAACGATGTCACACTCCAGGGCTACCTCTTGCATTTGCAGCCGAGATGAGCGCAATGACTACGACAGTGATGGGACAGAGGATGGCGTGGGAGTGGGGCAGATGGGCGCCCTGTGCTGCGCTTCACCTAGCCGAGTGACGTGATCGCAGATTGCCCTAGGATGTTTTTAGGAGTCGCCAGCTGGCAGACAAGTATCCCGTTAAGGTAGACCCGGTTATAAATGAAGAAGGGATCCCAAGATTACAACTAGTAGGAGTAATTACTTTGACAAACGTGAACTCTTTCGATGTCCATTTCATCTGTCACCTGCATAAATAAAAGTGAAAGTAACGATATTTGAAAGCTTACTCCTCCTTGACTCTCATCCGATTTTGAGAATGGAGACTTGAGTAATGAAATTAGGATTTTATCACATCTCTTTGTTGGACTGTAATTAATGTGCTATAATACTGACGAAGATTTTCTATCTATAACTCCCAAATGATGTGTAAGATTTTAACAACAAAAAATTGTTCTTATTATGATAGAATGAGATTCCATGCACCACTGATCCCAAGCAACAAAATACGTTATAAACATTTAATCACGAAAGTCTGGGTCTATCAGATACAACTTTTGACTGCTTAGCTAATTTTTATTCATTTCGCTCGCTCCAGCGAAGCGGGCCGGTTAGTACCAGTTATATTGAAAACATGAGAATAATAAGAGGAGCAAATTTTGAAATAGAATAAATAATATAAATACCTTAAACTACATTTGAAGATTTTGAGAATACTTTTTGGATTTTATTTTCTTCACAAGAGCTAATATTGAATATGTACTGTGTTCGTGATAGTGACTCGCCTGCAGATTGATGAACTTTGACGAATATAGCAAATCAGATTACAAAGTGAATTTAACATACTCGTAAACTACAACGATCTGCATCACCGGTTGCGTTTTCTCAGGAATATAACACAATCGCACTATGTCACACCGACCTTGGCGTGCAGTGAAGATTAACCATTTGCGTGCTCTCAATTAAATGGCTCCTCGCCGCCCAGGATTCCGCAGCCACCCTCCGTGGGGCGATGCTGCTATCGGAGCCATCGCGTTCACCAGCTCGACGCTGCGCCGCGCCGCCGTCGTGATCGCATTGTGACGAGACGCTGACGTTGCTTCAAGGCCACGCTTTTTCAAGAAAACCGTTTAATGTGTGTTCTGGAGTCGATTTTATTACAAGACGTAATGAAAGGATATTACGTAATTCGACCTTTGAAATGTATTAACCCAGGCTTATTCAATCGTGTCTGTCATGTCCTATGTCGGCTATTCAATGTGAAAAGCATTGATCGATTGTGAAACATTGACTGTTATTGTCGAATATAAAATCCACAAAGAGAGCTTAAGGATAAAAAAAAACCCGTTGTGACTGAAATATAATTTGAATTGATACCAATACTTTATCACGCATCCGTGTAAGTGATAAGTTGGCGTTAACTTGAAGTGGAAGCACACTTCATTCAAATGAATGGGAGATAACCAGAACGATATAAGTGACATTTTATAAATTTGAGAAAACTGTTTATTTAATTCAATATTACTTCAAAGTCGTGGTGCTTTGTTTTATCATTAAAACCACGACATTTCAATTGTTTATTAAAACCACGAAATTACATTGCAACTTAAATATAGCCTAAACTAAACAGATTTTTGTCAGATTTTATCAAATGTCACTTATCCAGTTCTAGTTTTCACTCATTCGAATTGAAACTCGTTTATAAGGGGATGTTAGTTGTACTGATGAGTCAGGTAATTCCCTGATTTATATACCAACTCTGGCCACTTTTTTAGCCAAATTTGTTGATGAGTCTGCTCTTAAATACTGGTTGTTCCAACGATTATACCATCGTCCGCTTCCTTGATTGTTTTTTTCATGAATGTTTCGTGATACGGCGATTTGTGTTATGGTAACTTCAAGGCTGTTTGACAGGAACAAAGCTTGCCTTTGCTCTACTTCGCAACGTTATGCACAGGCGTTTCCGTGTTTTCTAATCGAATATTCGAGTGTCGAAGCACGCCTATGTTAACAATCTATCGTTTGAATCAACCGGCACGGCAATAGAATGACGATTAAGGGTTTGCACAGGCAGCACTTAAGGTCCGAATCTAGAGTTGGATTAAGATCATTTTTAAGAAGAGCTACACTCCCCCTGCCCCCCTCTTCGCATGCGTATGTACAGGGGCGCCCTGAAAGGGAGCGGGCAGGTGGGGCAACTTGCCCCAGGTCCCGATTCAATTGGGACCCGAATTTCTCGTCACTCAAAATAAAGTTAAAAAAATGTATTTATCTCTAATCCAAATTTAACGCTGTAAGTTATTTCTTATGCCTGGGGCAATAAATTCTCATTATGAATCGGGGAAGGAGGGAATTTTTTGTTCGAACTGAGGGGCACCCATGGATTCAACTGCTCCAGGCCCCTAGTTTTCTTTGGGCTGCCGTGCGTATGCCCACTCCTGGCCAATTTCCTGCTGAGGTCGGCTCCTCCGACATC